ATATAGTTTTATAACTATTTCTTTCGATTGCCTTTTATCTTGTGTATACGAATGCATATATGTTCAATTGTTTGTATTCCATCTCATTTATAGGCTGGGCAACTCGGTACATAAAACTCAGTAAAAACCCACAATTGCATCCACTGCACTGCTTAATACACGATAGATATTACTTATACGCAGGAGATATTAAAAAAGCTGGACCATCCGAATATTGTGGCGTTTCTGGGGTTGGCGATCGGACCACCCTTGGCTATTGTGATGGAGTTGATGGGTTTAGGCGACCTGAAATATTATCTGAGGCACAACAAGTATGCAAGTTTGACAATGTAGGATGAATGATAGTGATTGTGGGTATATAGGATATACATATATTCCCTTACACACACACACATATATATATATATATATACCAGCTGGCTATGGGCTTCAGGCACACAGTATAGCTCGAATAGAGTTAAAAACATACACTGGCGTGTACAAAGGAGGGGAGACATGTACGTGTATGAGTCCATATAACACCCACGCGCGTCTGTCAGGCAAGTACACGTGAAGATCATATGCAATTCATCACCAATGAGGACGCACACCCTAGATACGTTACTGTGAATGCCTATGTTCTTATATTTTCACTCGTGCTGCATCCCGCACTGGTACGGCGCGATGGTCAGGTAAGTTGACTTTGATTGTATTTGGGATAGTATTAGGTGTTATAATCATAGCAGGAGTACGTAGTATATGCAGCGTTAACTATTGCTAACACAGTGGTTGTATGTAGTATGTATTGTACTGTTTATTATGATCCTAGAAGCAGGATGTATTGTGAACACCCATGGTATATTGTACTGTTTATTTTTATCCCAGAAGCAAGATGTATTATGTACATACATAGTATACTACGCATACGATATACGTACCAGCGTCTGCTGTGGTAGTATGACCTCATCAAACTGCACCTCACAACATACCCTCTACACGACTGATCTAGTTTAAAATAAGACCATATCAATGAATAATCCCGGTTTCTTAACAAACACTAATAACAGTATTTTGTGCTTTGATGTAGTTACTGGACTTGGTGTAGTTGTTATACATGCGCATCACAATATATTGACCAAGCCGAATTTTAAGGTATTGCTCTAGTACTCATAGACGGAGCTTGAGATAGCCACTTGTTGTGCATTGATCTCTCTATAGGAATGACCTCAGCACCCAAATAGACTATAGTTATATAGTAGCAACTAACAAAGGTATAGATATATAGTAGCAGCTAACGAAGGCCATACACTACTCCCTTCTATATATAGAACAGAGAAGAACACCATCTCATTGGCCGAGCGCTACCATACGGCCTTCCAGATAGCCAATGGGGTGGCGTATCTGGCGACCAATGGAGTGATCCACAGAGATCTAGCTACTCGCAATTGCATGGTTGGCGCGGCAACCACGTCATCGTTTGGTTATCCGATAGTAAAGGTACGTACACTCTACACAGTATACTAAACCCTAAAACCTTTTAATCTTAAAACCCTAAAACTTTTAATCTTAAACCCTAAAACTTTTAATCTTAAACCCTAAAACTTTTAATCTTAAACCCTAAAACTTTTAATCTTAAAACCTTAAAACTCTTAAACCATAAATTCCTAAAACCCTAAAACCTTAAAATCCCAAAACCCTATTAAAAAAAGTATGTGAGCTGTGCTTTGTGTTGGGTCGACGAGTTCTACATTTGCATGAAATGTGCGGTGTAGTGTGGGATGTGTTTATGTACGTACAAGTGGTGTTTGATTCGTCTGTGCATGTACATATAGGGTGTTATGTCCGCAGATTCGTGATATAATTTTGAACTATACCTAAAGTCAGGGCGGTTGCAACACGTAGCTATAACTATCATGCTATGCATATCATATACATTGCATCCCCCAAATGCCTACATCACTGCTTTACGAACTCACCATACTATGCATATCATAGATATAACACCCACTCCATGCACACATCACTGAATAACTAACTCACCATACTTTGCATATCATAGATATAACACCCACTCCATGCATACATCACTGCTTCACTACCGATATCATGCTATACATATCATAGACATAACATCCACCCAATGCCCGCCACCAGTGAAGACGGGCAAGTTCTCATTTGCTTTGGCCATGTAAACCTGGTTTGTGCCAATGCGGCGGTTAAGGCCATCGTCCGAGTTGTTGCGTGGATCTCTGGTGATGAACTCGATAAACAGATCTACGCCATTCTTTTCGTCAAACTGTATGGCACGCTGCGGCGGCGCGGAGTCGACGCGTTTTCTGAGCACGTCCATTATGGCGTGGTCACCAACGCCACCTGAACCCTAAGATCCTAAAACCCTATGGCGTGGTCACCGACGGGAATGTTTTTTTCGCGTGTCCGTGACCACGCCATAATGGACGTGCGAAAGAACCCTGTTGATTCCACGCTAACGCAACGTGCCATACAGTTTGACGACAAGAATGCCGTAGACACGTCTGATTTGGTTTATTGTCGGAGATCTCTGCAACTACTTGGACGATGGTCTGAACCACCACATTGGCCCAAACGAGGTTTATTTGGACAAAGCAAACAAACGATAATCTCCCCTTCTTGACTGCCGGCGGCCACCGCTCTGCTTAACTATACAGATCATCCAATACATAGTATAGATATATCATCTACTCAATGCATATATCACTGCTCAAATATAGTTATCATGCCATCCTATACATATTATAGGTTTATCATCTACTCAATGCTTATATCACTGCTCAATTATAGTTATCATGCCATCCTATACATATCATAGATATATAATCGACTCAATGCTTATATCACTGCTCAATTATAGTTATCACGCCACAAATATCATAAATATAACATCCACTCAATGCTATCTATATCCCTGCTTCACTATGACTACCGCGCCATACACATCACAGGTGGCTGACTTTGGTCTTTCGCGTCCTCTATCTGCCGAGACGGAGTACTATCAGATGGAGTCTAAGAGTGATCTGCCTATACCCTGGATGGCCCCAGAAACCCTTGCACAGGTACTTTCAAAGTTAAACGTTAAACGTAGTGCATATATGTGTTATGGTACGTACGTAGTTTGATTGTACAATCAGTAGTAGTAGTAGTGTCTGTAGAATCACAGCCTGCGACAGTGACTACAGAAGTGTTGTAGAGTGTAGCATGTTTTAACACCCAGCCGTAGTATATGTATAGACCCACAGCCTGAGACGGGCGATATGATGACTCGTCACAGTCTCCTCATCTGCTGAACCAACTAGTCCAACGGTCAAACGAACAACCACCAACTCAACGATCAAGTAAACAACACCTGACTGACAAAAGCAAGCCATAGTTACTGGTACACACAGAGTACACTCAGTCTAAATCTGACACACCACAACTGATTGAATGGCATATACACACCACATACATAGCCCATATAGACTGATTGTGTGGCATGTACACGCAGTTTACATAGTCCATATAGGGGCATTCATCGGGGTATCCATACCCCTCATAGACTGCGGCGTTGGTGGCCTGCAGATATATATATCGGTGCCATGCCAACAAACCAATAACAAGCCAGTGTCCTGGATTTTCCCGAATTCACCAACAGAAAAAGTTCTCGCAAAGTTCCGATGTGTGGTCGTTTGGGGTGACGCTATGGGAGATCTTCACGGACGCGCAGTCTATGCCGTATGCTGGCATTCCTATAATGGCCCTGTACAAACACATCACTGACGGACATCGGTTGACCCGCCCAGCCAACTGTCCCAGGGTATGTTATGGAGGGATAAACTGTGCGAGCCCATGCATTCATATTTATATATATATATATATATATAAATAGATGTATACAAACAAGTATGCTACAAGCAAATATACTTGTGTGAGTACTCATGCGTATATGTATGTATACACTGGCACGTCCGATATAGCACCACACCAGCACGTCCTTAGTGAGCACCAGCTGACCAACTGGACTTACTATGCGAAGGTGTTCGTGCGTGGATGTGCTGTATATTGGTGTGTGTATGATATGATATACATGAGACTATGAAAAGGGTATGTACCCTGTTGGTATGGGATGGGGCTGTAGTTACCATATCCTATCTACAACTCTTTCCTAACTGATGTCTCATTCACTCAGCCTAACACTATATTATCCGCCTGGCACATTTCATACCTACCTATTCATATGTACTTTCTACTGAAAATATAGTATATCCGGTATCATCAGATGCCGTCTTGGCGCTAAAAACCTAAAATTCAGCGCATCGCTTTGCTTGAATAGGCATCAAATGAGGTTGTTCCTATATATATAATCCTTACTATCAATAGAAGTGTTATCTTCGTTGCAGGATACGAAGTATAGCAGAACATACTGTTCAGAGGAAATGCATGCGGATGACCCAGTACAGTGCATTGTCTCATAGTCTCTCATCTGCATCCCTCTCAGCTCGACCTGCACTCACTAATAGGATGCGTATCATACACTGTACCAGATACAAGTTCCTTCTGTACTAATATCAGCATCCTCGAACATATAGTTCACTATATTTGTCGCAAACTTTCAGTACCTTGAAATAGACTCCCTATCAGCATGCATACGGTATCATGGCACGCCGTTGGCTTGACAACACCTTTGAACGGCCCGACATAGTACATTCTCCTATAGTTAAAATTATTTTCCTCGTATGTACTTATATAGCTAACATTTCGCAAATACTTTATTCTCATATCCCACACATTAGAATAAACCCATGTCAGAATCCATACTTTCTAACATTTCGCATATACTTTCTCCTAACACCCTCTATCTTGAATTAAACTCTACGACAGTATGCATACGATTTAATACAAACTATGCTAGTCCTATGGTGTCAAAGGTGTTCTTGTGCCAGCCGCATGTTATAAAAAACCATAACATACGACTGGCACAAGAACACCTTTGACAGTATGAGAATAGCATAGTTTGTATTAGAACACGGTGATTTTCTACTAGACTTATCCTCAAATTCCTCGTATATACTTGTACATTACGATCTATAATTCCGGCCCATCTCGCATATACCTTCTCCTAACGCCACATACGTTGAAATAAACTCTACAACAGGACGCATACGATATCATGACACGCTGCTGGCACGAGAACACCTCTGAACGGCCCGATTTCCATGCGCTGTGTTTGGATGCGGCTGCCTTATTCTTGCAAACGTCCGAACACGAAGCCGTCATCAAGGTATACCATATATTCAAGCACAATCGCGAACAGAAATATGTAAACAATCACACAGACACAGACACACTTATATATATGTATGTGTGTCTTTGATTCGCGTTTTACTTATACAGCTGAGATCGAAGTAGGCGTTTAGTATTGGGAAGTCCGATTTAGAAATAGATATACATTCTCTTATCGATATATGTATATATCTGTTTATATCTTTATGCAAATATAGCTGGCGTCCGAGTACGCTTTACGTATTGGGAAGTCCGACACATAAATACATATACAATCTCTTAATGATATTTGTATATGTCTGTAGATGTGTCTTAATATAAATATAGCTGATGTCGGAGTACACCTTTTGTATCGGGAAGTTTAGTAGATGTTTAAACACTGGTACACCATCCAGCCACTGTATGTAACGACAACCTCACAAATACCCAATGCCAAGCACGTGCACGTGTATATTATACGCATGTATACATCTAATGCACTAGCTATATATACATGTATGTGTGAAAGTGAACCAAAACACATATACATGTAGAGATTGACACATAAAATCTGGCATTATTCTACAAACATATACACACAAACATACACACACAAACATAGATACATGTACAGGTTATAGTATGTGTACATGCACATAATGGTGTATATCTATACAGAAAGTTCAAATACAGACCAATTTTTAGTTCGCCACAATATACTGATATACATTACCTGTTCATTTTCATCGTAGACGAGCAAAGGGGGGCAGATCTTTCTCCAGGACACCAGTATGCCGGAGACCCTCTCCGTTGCCAAGCAACGCACGTCAGCTACTAAGTCCAAGAGTGGACAGATGACATCTACTGTGCAAACCCCTGGCATGCTATCAGACACGCATACAGCACAACCCTTGTACGTTGATGTCGATGCAGAAATAGAACCTCCCCCGACTGTAGCCGCTGTGCAGGGACTGGACGGGGCTTACATGGGGTACTATGACAGTATTGTCTAACAATCCGATAGTTCCGTCTGATAGTACGACAAATCGTCTATCAATCCGACAATTCCGTCTGACAATACGACACCTTAGTGACGGCCTGACCTGCAGATGGCTCTCCTTTGGCAACTGCTGGATGTGCAGAGACCGGATAAGCGTTGTTTGTAAGGAACGATAAGTAAACTGTCTGACAACATGACATGGTCTGATAGTACGACAATTGTAGTACAATACGACAATTGTCAGACAATACAAAAATTATCTGACAATACGACGAAACGTTGACACAAACGAATAAATTGCATCACAAAATGCAACATCCAGTATGGGCGAACGATAAATACACTTGTCGTGCTCAGCTAATTTTGCCCAATACACGTAGAATGAAGATGACGAGACATTTACTACTACGCAAAAATACCTTGACAAGTCCCTACATATAAACTGCAGATCAGCTGAACGTATTGATACATCTTATACACTGCCAGACCTACCCTGTGAGACCGTTTTCTGCGACCACACACTTCCTCATCAGTTCACGACACACATAAGTGTGCTTTGTGTAATATACAGGCATATTGTTTAATCTCAACTGGCATTAAACCTGCGCAATGCTGGCCAGACGACAGTTCTGTACACATATAATATAAGAATATACCTGTACGTCGACTTTCCGAATACATTATATATATATAAACATATATGTATATGTATATATATATATAAATACATATATATATATGCATGTGTATATATACATACATACATACACACACATATATATATATAATATATATATATTATAGATAAATATTAATTTATATAGATAAATAAATATAAATATACAGACATATATATATATATATACATAT